AGGCCCAAACCGGCATTTTAGCACCCCCTGAACGCGTTGTCTGAATTGCTGGGGGGGCTCGAAATCGACACCCCTCACACAGATCGGCAGGGTCAGGGTCCAAAAACACAAGGGATTTGCCACATTTCTGAAATTCGGTGCCACCCCTCACGCAGATCCGCGGGGTCAGCGTCCAAAAACACAAAGGATTTGCCACATTTCTAAAATTCGGTGCCACCCCTCACGCAGATCCGCGGGGTCAGGGTCCAAAAACACAAAGGATTTGCTACATTTCTGAAATTCGGTGCCACCCCTTACGCAGATTCGCGGGATCAGGGTCCAAAAACAAAAGGGATTTGCCACATTTCTGAAATTCGGTGCCACCCCTTACGCAGATCCGCGGGATCAGGGTCCAAAAACAAAGGGGATTTGCCACATTTCTGAAATTCGGTGCCACCCCTTACGCAGATCCGCGGGGTCAGGGTCCAAAAACACAAGGGATTTGCCACATTTCTGAAATTCGGTGCCACCCTTCACGCACATCCATCGCAAGGCGTGGTAACCCAAACTGCGAGAACTCCCTCGGCCCTTTAATCGCAAGGTGTGGTAACCAAGCCCGTAAACCATACACGTCTTACCAATCGCCAGGTGTGGTAACCCCTCTTGTGATCAGTTGGTTTTGCTGATTGCGAATCGGCTTCGCATGAAGTTTCGATACTGCTTCACGACAGCGCCAAGGCCTCATGACTTAGCTCTTCCATGGCCCATTCTCCGAGAGAGGGGGCCGGCGGCAGGGGGCGAAACCCTTACGGATAAGAGTTGAGCGAAACTACAGAGAGGCACCGAAAACATCGAAACCTAATCCCCCCACAAGGTATTAAATCATGGCCGCTCTCGGACCGTAGACGCTTGAATTTGCCCCCCTGGGCCAGACCAGCCGCGGCCGAAGCTCGCGGCCTGCGCGCGGATCTATCGCCGATGGGTCGCCTGGCTCTCGGGGGGGCAGTCTCTTCGGGCGCCTGGAATCTACTCAGGAAACTCTCGGTGGCTCGAACTCGCACGGCCCTGGTGAGGGCTAAACTGAACTTTGTGGCCCCGGCGAGGCCTGGCTCTAGCTGGGCTCTCTTGGCTGTCTCATCAGCCAGTCTGTCCGCGATCTGATTCCCTACGAAGGCACAAGCTTGCGTGTGTTTCATCGCCGCCCTCTCGGGGCTCATGTGTGACTCAGTTTTTATCACCCTGACCTCCCTGTTCGTGATGACCGCCTGGACTCTGACCCACTCATTAACATACTGCTCTGGAAACTGGTTGCTACTGGCTCTGAGGGCATTCGAAAACACGTACATGGAATCGGTGACGTAGACCAAACTCGGGCCCATGGCCCCCCCTCCAGGAACTCCGAAAACGCCAGCAAGTCTCCGTGATTGATGGTCAGGGCGCCCCAGACTGCCCCCCGCCGACGGTTTCGCCAGATCAAGCTCGGGCGTCGGGCTGGCGAGGGAGATGGGCTGGAAAACGACGTAAGCCCAAGCCACTCTGCGAAAGAGGCTGGACTCTGTGTGCTGACCACCTGAAGCATCTCCCGCACCGACCAAAAAAAACAGCACCGCTTGGCCACTGACAGTGGCATATGATCTCGGCCGCCTGCTCCCGAAGAGGGAATGGCACGTCGGTCCAACTCGTCGGGGCTAGACCTCGAAGCCAAACAGCAGGATGTGCCTCGTGCTGTGTGTAAGCTCGAAGTGACAAATAATTGGAGGCTTTCGTCGCCGCCACCTCGTTACACCTGCAGCCCCAAACCCTATGGAAAAACGCCTCTTCCTCTTTCCCACACCGATCATACTGGACAGGAAACCCGGGCGGCTTGCAAACCTCGGCGACGCGACTCTTTGGCCATTGATGACCTCCAGAAACGACTGCAAGAACATCACATGCCCATTACTGTTGGGCTCTTCTGGCTGCTGCAAGCTCTCTGCGAACATCATCGAGATACACTCTTCCTTCAACATCCTCGCTCTAGAAGTGTTTCGATGCTCTCCTCCACATCCTCCTCCGAATAGTGGCGGCGATCTCCTCCTTCAAATCAGAGGTGTCGAACACACCTACTGCCAGAACATCCTCGGAGGCTCGACATCGTTCTCCTTGGTCTGAAACCCAGTCCCAGGGCCCCTCGGGGCTCCAATCGAGGTCCAGGAGTGTGTTGATGATGGCCCGTGTGTGCCCTGTTGCTTTCCTCCATCTATGTTATGGCTTACTGCGGGCTCTCCGCAAATGAACTGGCCAATCTCGAAGCGCTAGGGATCGTTGTATAGCGCCAGCAGTGACGACGGTCATCCAAGAGTCAACAATCCTTCACATTTGGACAATCTCTGGGTCCTTGTTGCCCAGATCTATCTGCAAGAGGAGTCCAAACACCTGCCTTGAACTGAGGGCGAAAAGGTGCGTGCGATGGCTCGCCTCCATGCCAAAACTGAGGAGGAGGAAGAAAAGGAGGAGGAGGAGGAGGAGGAAGAGGAGGTGGAAGGAGGAGGAGGAGGAGGAGGAGGAGGGGGAGGAGGAAGGAGGAGGAGGAGGAGGAGGAGGAGGAGGAGGAGGAGGAAGGAGGAGGAAGGAGGAGGAGGAGGAGGAGGAGGAAGGAGGAGGAGGAAGAAGCAGGAGGTGGAAGGAGGAGGAGGAGGAGGAGGTGGAAGGAGGAGGAGGAGGAGGAGGAGGAGGAGGAGGAGGAGGAGGAGGAGCAGGGGGAGGAGGAGGCCTGCGCAGGTAGCAGGAGCCGGCGACTTTGAAAAGGGCGAGGTCTGCACAGAGGGTGCAGCTTGCAACCCATCGCGCCCCCGACGAAGGCGGGCGAGGGCCTCGACGGAGCTCTCCCGCTGCGCCCGCACCGAGCGCAGCGTGGTGCCCCCCCCCCCCCCCTAAGCTTCAGTCGGGCATGTCCCCCTACAGGCGAATTGTAGGCGAAAACAAAACAGATAGTCAAAACATGCGCAAACATAGTTAACACATACTGAGAACATTGTCCCGACTTTTTTGTTTGATGATTTTTGACTATTTTCCTGTAGAGGGACACGCCCGACGTAACCCTGAGCCCCAACGGCGCAGGTCGCAGACCACGTCCTAGCGTGGCCACGACCCTCTGCAATCGCTGAAATCGGAACCCAAATCGGACGGAACCCCTGGTCGAATCGAATCGGGAACGGAAACCATCGAACTCGAATCCAATCGGAGGAAGCGAAGCGAGTCCTGAAGGGGTGCTGCAGCTTGCAACCGCACTCCCGACGGGCGGGCGAAGGCCTCGGCGGAGTCCCCACCGCTGCGACCGAACCGAACGCAGCGCGGTCCCCCCCCCTTAACCTACAGACGGGTTTTGGACGACAAATACAAAATATCCGAGACCTTTTTCATTTTTTGTTCAAAAATGGCGCAAAGTATTTTTGGACAGTGTTTATTATTTCCTCCTGTAGAGGGACACGCCCGACGCAACCCTGATCCCCAACGGCGCAAGTCGCAGACCACGCCCCGGGCGTAGCCACGACCCTCTGCAGCCGCCGAAAACTCGATGGCAGAAAATCCACCCCCCAGGAGGACCACCCCGCCACGCGCAGGCCGCTTCGCAAACGCACCCACAGGAGCAATCGAGCAGGGCGGGGCTGTTTAGTAGACGCCCGCCAAGGCTTGACCTAAGTAAACGTTGTGTCTCCATGTGTCTTCGTTTGGTAAACGCCCAGCAAAACTGGACCTAAACGTTGTTTATCTTTTTGTTTTCGTTTTCTGTACCTCCCTGTCAGAGCGAAACGCAAAACAAAACCGAAGTCCAGCAAATCAGCCGAATCCGTTTCCCGATCCATGTTTTGTTATTGTTGTGTTGTTTTGTTCCTCCCTCGCCTTGCTGCGGGGGGGGGCGCCGGCCCAGGAAAGCGACCTCACGTCCGCCACCCTGGGCAGCGCCTGGCTTCCGTGCGTCGCCGCCCAGACAGACCGAGGTTTTGCTGCTGGGCAATGCTGGTGCCGCTATATGGACGGCGACCTGCGGAGCGCGCCTTAGGGTCTCGCCTGCGGGGCTCTCGGGGTGCTCGCCTCTCTTCCCCCGCGCCCTTGGCGGCGCCCCTCTCTCCCCGGGCGGGGGCATCTTGGCCCCTTGGCCTCTTAGGGCGCGTCGGCCGCCGCGCCGGCGCGGCGCGGAGCGGTGGGGGGGCGCCGTGGACTCCGCGGGCCTGCGGCCCCCTCGGGAGCGCAGTAAGTAAGGAAGAGGAGTGGAGTGGAATGGAGTGGAGCGGAGCGAAGCAGGAGGCGCGCCGATCGACGCCAACGCGACCCACCCCCGCGCCCGAGGCACGGGAAAGGCCAGCGGTCTCAGGGGGGGGGGGCCCTTCACGGCCCCGGCAAACTAGAACGTCGGCCCCGCAGTTCTGGATTGCCCTCCGCCCAGCGCAAGGACTCGCCGATCAACCGGAAGGCGTCGCGCCCGCGGCTGGACGCGAGGAAGTCCAGCATGACAACGAAATCGAATCCAACCTCCTCGATTCTCTTGGCGGCGGCGGCCGTGTGCACGCTCGCCGCGAGGAACTGGTCCGCGAGCACCTCCCTCAAGAACCCCTCCGCGCCGCCTGCGTGGCCGTCGACGCCGTCTCACATCGCGTGGCCCTCCCGCTCGTTGATGGCCTGGGCCGCCTCCGTGACGATGTCGTCGGTGTCGACCTCGACGCAAGAAACAGCATTCCCCTGAAGCGGCGCCCTGAGGAGCGGGACGCTGCCGCAAGTAGCAACCCCATCCGCTGCCTGCGGCGCCCCGGTGAGCGGGCCACTGCCGCTGAGATACTGCGCAGCTCCAGACAGAGGCACCCCGAGGAGCGGGCCACTGCCTCGGAGAAACTCCAACGCTGCGTTTCTCCTGCTGAAGGGCCCCGTGGAGATGTTGCTCTGGATCGGAGCGCAACTTGGACCACTGCCGCCCGTAAAAGGTACAACATCCCCCAGAAGCGGCGCACCGAGGAGCTGCCGCGAGTGGCAAACCCATCCGCTGCATGCGGCGCCCCAATGAGCGGGCCATTGCCTCTGAGATGCTGCGGCGCGGCATCTCGGGGAAGACCGCCAGCGTCACCACGAGGCCCTGCCTGAGCACATGCCTGGGGCCCGCCTCCGAGTTCACGACCATCAACACACCGAACGCCATTGCCATGTGGGGCTCGAACAGCACCGCGAGGATGACCGCCGACTCCACCCAGGAGGCTAGCACTGGCTGGCCCACCGAACCCGCCCAGAAGGCGACGTCGGCTGGCGGCCAGCTCTTCCCCCCACCCAATTTATCACAGGGTGTGGGCAACTGTCTTCCGACGTGCCTGGGTCCTGGGGAGCCTCTCCCAGCGGGACTGGCTCCCCTGGACCGCGCCTCAGCGTCGCGCTGTGCTGCGCCTCGGCGGCCTCGGCGGCGCGGCGCGCCACCGCACCGCGCACTGCCCGCGGCAGCCGTGGCCAGCAGGCGGGCCTCGGAGACGAAAGCGGGGGCAGCTGGCGGCACCACGACCTGCTTCGGCGCGACCGCCTCCACTACAATCCCTGCGGCCACCTTGCCTCCGCTCCGCGAGGCGGGCATGCGAGCTTCGAGATCGGGGCCCGCCAGCGCCCGCGGCAAGCGGCAGGAACCCGCCCGAGGCCAACAACTCGCGGATCGCGGAGACGACCCCTGTGCCCCGAGGGCCTCCGCGAGGCCGCAGGGCCGCTTCCAGGGCAGCTCTCGTCCGTCGCCTGGCTGCTCGCCTCGCCGCTGTGTGCCCGATCCCCAGGGACTTCAGCCTCCTCCGCGGAGTGGGCCACCACGCCGAAGGGCGGCCCCCCTGTAGCCAGGAACGCTTCGCTCCGCATCGGTCGGGGCTTGCCACGGCGCCGCAGCGCGCGCGGGGGCGGACCCGTCGCCAAGAACGCCTTGGGTAGGCTCGGAGCTGGCCCAAAAGCGCCGAGGCGCAGTTGAGCCAAAACGGTTCTTGAGCAGGAGGAGGAGGATGAGGAGGAGCAGGATGAGGAGGAAAAACATCTGAATGACCCAATCTGAAGGGCCCTGGAAGGCCATGTGAAAGTTTTTCGAACGAGGTTGGCCAGCGAGAACCGCTGAGGATGGCCCGGAGGGGCAAGGATGCAAGGGTACCCTTGGGGAGGTTGCCCATCCTCATCGTGCGCCCCCACCTTACGAGGAGCCAATCGCGGGGATGCGGATAAGCACCTGGCATCCGAGGCCACCATCTATTCGTCCCATACCCTGCTTCCCCTGGCGCCTAGAGCGGGGGGCAGCAGCAGCAGGGGTATGGGCGAATGCCGATCGATCGCCGACCTCCCGTCGCCATCTCGTGTGCAATACATACTACAGGGGCCCAAGGATATACAAATAAATAGACACAGATCCCATGATTCCCCTATATGCTTTCATATTTCCTGGGTTTTCCTTCCCCCCTCTCACTTTTTTCCGTGTATTTCTGGGAATCGACGATGAATTGTCTGTGTTTTTTCCATCCTGGAATGCACCTGGTGCACTGCATCCGAGCCCTGCTAACCTGCCAGCCCCTTCAGACGACCGTCTGGAGGGATCTCGGGAAGGCGCCTCCCCAGAGACCCGCGCGCCCTCACACGAAAGGCCACAGGGCAAGAGGGCGAAAAGGGGGGGAACAAGAACGAAGGGGGAGGAGGGAGGCAGGGATGCAGGGAGGTCGGCGGGGAGACACGAGCGACGGGAAGACATGAGACAAGAACCACCTGTCCCCGCAAAAGCAGTCGCGCCGGGATCGGAGTCCGGCGTACAGTCTGGGGTTGGTGCCTTGTCGCACTGGGCCTCGTAGTAGTATATGTACTTGTCGAGGACCTCTACCCACAACGGAACCTGGGGCAGCGGTCCGGGGCACGAGATGAAGTGAGAGGCGGAGGGCATAGGGAGAAGAGGTTGTTTATATTCAGTGACATATCTACTATCTATAGCTAGAGAAGAAGAGAGAGAGAGAGAGAGAGAGAGAGGGAGAGAACGCACACAACTATAGGTAGAGAGATAACACAGACAATGAGAGAGAGAGGAAGAGATAGAGAGAGAAAGAGAGAGAACACACAAGCAACACACAAACAAAGAGGGGGCGCTCGCAGCAGAGGGCTGCTCGCAGCAAAAGGATCGCATTCACTGGCCAAGCAGACCGCGAGGCGGATAGGGCAGTCGTCATTGTGGTGACAGTCCATTGCCGGGGACGCGGAGGGCATCCCGAGCGATAAGGTCATCGAGCTGGAGGACACGCCTGTCAAGCTGCAGAGGGCCTACAACAGAGCAGAGGATACAGAGAGAGGAGGCAGAGGAAGCTGTCGGGGAGGCGGGCGCAGAAGCATGAGGCGCGCGGCCTGAGGAGGACGACCTCAGACCTGTGATCAGGTGGCTGGGGCACCACCTGGTGGAGTACAAGAGCGAAGACGGCGAGATGGGCCTGGTATGCCGAAGGTGCGGGGCCAGGGGGGCTCAAGGCCGCTTGGCCGTCAAGAGGAGGCGAGGTGAACTGCTCTCCCAAGAGCGCAGAGGCGAGGGCAAGGGCTGCAAGGAACAACTCAGGAGGCAGAGGAAAGGCTTGCACCCGCTGCCCTGCAAGCGGGCGTGCAGGGGTGACTTCAGAGATGGAGTCGGAATAACTCTCTGGCGTGGGCTGGCGACGCCGGCGGGCGAGCAGCTGCAGGAGCATGAAACCGCTCCGAGGGGGCGAAGAGGAGGGCACGAGGCTGGAGGAGGCCCCGAAGCCTACGGTCAAGTCGGGCGCGTCCCCCTACAGCCGGATTTTCGACGACAAATAAAACACGGTCAAGCAATACTCAACAAATGCGCAAACGTGGTCAACACATCGTTCCCATACTATTGGTGGACTATTTCTCGGCCAAAAAATTCAAAAAATATCCAAAAGTAGTCAAACATCATTCCCATACTGTTTTTGAATAGTCTTCCTGTAGAGGGACACGCCCGACTTAAGCCTACGGCGGGGCCTTGCCGCTGAGGTCGCTGGGCGACGTCGCCAAGGCCCGCGGGGTCGACGAGGAGGGCCTGCTGGCCCCCCGGGCAGGAGGGCGAGGGCAGCCACGGCGGAGGCTGCACGGGGGCAGGAGGCCTGCCAAGAGGAGGAGGAGGAGGAGGAGGAGGAGGAGGAGGAGGAGGAGGAGGAGGAGGAGGAGGAGGAGGAGGAGGAGGAGGATGAGGAGGAGGAGGGAGGAGGAGGATGAGGAGGAGGAGGAGGAGGAGGGGAGGAGGATGATGATGAGGAGGAGGCGGAGGAGGAGGAGGAGGAGGCAAGGAGGTTCAGGGCCGCGCGCGGAGGGGAGCGGGCGGCCACGGCAAGAGCGAGGCGGGCGCGCGGAACCGAGAGCGAGGGCTGCTGCGCGCGGCAAGGCAGCCGCAGCCGGGGGTGGCCAAGTTCGGGGAGACGTAAGACCCGGGTACGGGGGACTCGGAAATCCCCGACGAGGTCGTCAAAAAAATGACGAGGCCGAGCCTGCATTTTGACGAGGCCTCCCGCTGCAGACATCCCACGAAACTCCTCCTCGTCAAAATCCGAGGCGCAGTCGTCAAAAAACGATGGCGAACCCGAGTCCCGGCAAACCCGGGTCTTACGCTCCCCCGACAAGTGCGGTGGGCGCGCAAGCCACGAGGAGAGGCGAGGCCGGCTGCGTGGCGGCAGGCCCAAAGATCCTACGTATTGACACAAACGGAGATTTTTCGCAACTTTCGGCCCGTAGGGTCCCTCGCCGGGCCTCGGGACCGTCAAACAATGACTCACGATGAAAAGCTGATCCTAGAGAATGGGTCGAGACTCCCGAGGGCCCCGTACTGAGCAAAATCACGACATCGGATCTCTGGGGGCCTGGGCGGAGGGCGTCTTGCTGGGCCCACCGAGGGGGAGGGAGCTCGGAACGGCACGTGCACTGCAGAGCTGCCACGCGGGCTGCTCGGCCGCGGGGGAGGGGGCGGGACGACCCCCCCCATGACGCCGTCCAAACACGTCAAAACACGTCGTCGTCGTCGTCGTCGTCGTCGTCGGCGTCGGCGTCGGCGTCGGCGTCGGCGTCGGCGTCGTCGTCGTCGTCGTGGAGGGAAAGCGGCCTACCCGCGACGCGGACCCAGCCGGGCAGCCGCCGCCGACGGGGCGAGCCCCCAAAGGTCGCGACAGATCGGCGCCCGCGCGCCCCCGCTCAGGACGGGCGGCGCGCACAAGGGGTGGGGGGCGGTGGGGGAGGTTGCGACTCCTCCGCCTCCTCCTCCGCCTCCTCCTCCGCCTCCCCCACCTCCCCCCCCTCCATTCCTTTCCCTTGAAATGAATTCCCCCCCGTCGAACCAAAGGCCAATCGGAAAGGCCCTTTTCAACATGTGGCTCTCGCTTCAATGCCGCGCACGCTCGTCCTAAACATTTGGAAAAACGTTTCAAGGGTTGAGGTCAGGCATTTTTCAAAATGTGTCTATCGCTTTGATGCCGCGCGCACTCGTCTTAAACAACGTGCACGAGTTTCATGGATTTTGGGGCAGGTCGTTTTCAACATGTGGCTCTCGCCTCAACCTCCCGCGTATTCGTCTTAAACATTTGCAAGAGCTCCACGGATTGAGGGCGGGTCGTTTTCAAAATGTGGCTCTTGCCGTAGCGCAGTGCACAGTCGTCATGAAAGTTCGCACGGGCCTCGAAGGCTGAGGGCGGTACATTTCCACAATGTGGCTCTCGCCTGGGCGCCGCGCGCACTCGTCTTAAACAATGCACGGGTTTCACGGATTGAAGGCGTTTCCTTTTCAACGTGTGGCTCTCGCCTTTGCGCCGCGCGCGCTCGTCTTAAACATGTGCAAACGTTTCACGGATTATCATGGTAAACGTGCAAAATATGGTTTCGGAACGAGTCAGGGTTGTCAGTGTGCAGCCGTTACGTTGATGGGCTGTGGTGTAATCTCAGAAGCCGCGTCCTGACACGATTGTGGACCGTCAAGGCACACTAGTCAAGTTGACTCGCGGCTGAAATTCCTGAAAATGGTACCCTGGTACTCTTCAGGATTCTCAAGCAATTGTCTCCCAAAAGAGCATCCCCTCAGTGGAACTTAATCCGTGTAGCGGCCTATGAAGAAGGAGCTTGGGGGGAAGGTTGACTCTAACATCGTTGATGGGTCTTGGGTTTGCATTGGTCCTCTTCCCCCTCCGCCCCCTCCCCTTCTTCCTCCTCCTCCTCCTCCTCCTCCTCCTCCTCCTCCTCCTCCTCCTCCTCCTCCTCCTCCTCCTCCTCCCCTCCTCCCGTTGCTCCTCCTCCTCCCCGTCCTCCTCCTCCTGCTCGTTCTCCTCGTTCTCCTCCTCCTCCTGCTCGTTTGCCTCGCCATCCTCGTGCTCGTCGTTCTCCTCGTTCTTCTCGTTCTCTTCGTTCTGCTCGTTCTCCGTGTTCTTCTCGTTCTCCTCATTCTCCTTGTTCTCTTCCTCCTCCTCCTCCTCAATCTCCTCCTCTTCCTCCTCCCGGACCGAACAACGAACGCCTCCGTGCCCATGTCCTCTCGGACTGGACACCCGCGCGCGGTCCCAAAGATACGCTCCGCGCAGGGGCATTCGCGCAGAGCCCCCCTATATCCGCAGGGCCGCGGCCGCGGAATCCACGCTGCAAGGTCGGGCTCGGGCTCGGGCCCAGGCCCAGGCCCGCGCTCGGGCCAGGGCTCGAGGAGGAGGGGGAGGAGCAATGAGGAGGAGGAGGAGGAGGAGGAGGAGGAGGGAGGAGGAGGATGAGGAGGAAGAGAAGGAGGAGGAGGAGGAGGAGGAGGAGGAGGAGAAGGAGGAGGAGGAGGAGGAGGAGGAAGAGGGAAGAGGGGGGGAGGAGGAGGAGGAGGAGGAGGAGGAGGAGGAGGAGGAGGAGGAGGAGCAATGAGCAATGAGCAATGCGCGGGGAGTTCAAATGAGTTGCTCGCCTCACACCATGAAGCCTGGCGAAAAAACTCTGCGCAACCTGACTTAGTGAGGTGCGGGTTATCACTTGAAAGAGACGGGGCAGCCCACACTGGCTGGGCCAGCACTGCCCCCGAACGGTGGCGAACCTCCGGGACGCCACGCAGGCGTATACGAGGAGGGGCCACCTAAAGGACGGACGCTTGACTGGATCCTCGGCCTTTGCTGCTGCCTTTCCCCCTACGTGGGCCCCGCTTGGGCGCTACCACAAGGGGGGGCACGGGAATATTAGCCTGCTGATACGTGGCGAAAGCAGGGGTCCGAAAAGGATCTGAGATCACTCCCCTGGCCACTAAACTCGCCAAACGAACGCGACCTGAAAAAAACGCCTCTGTTGGGCTGCGAAGATCTCCTCACATCTCCCTCCACCCTTCCACGGCCCCCACTCCTACTCCCATCCTCCTCCCTCACGGGCCTCACAGGCCTCACTGGTCCACCCGAGCCCAGGGCCTCCTTCATTTCATCTCGATCAAATTCAGGATCCTCGCAGCTGCTCGCTCGAGAGGTCCCTTCGGGGCTGGGCCGATCAACTGCCCCGCCCTCCCCTGGTCATCCTCGTAGTTGAGGGGCCGGGTGATCAGCTCCCTCGCCATCATGCCAGGCTCGTCGTAGCTGAAGGCGAAGGTCAGCCGCCCTTTCTTCGTCTGCTGCTGCTGGCTCGAGGAGCCACTCGTCTCGGACTTCCGTCCCTGGTGCTTCCGAAATCGAAAGTGAAGCGCGCGTTCGCCCACGGTCTGCGGGGCAGCGCTCTGGATGTACTTCGTGAAGTACCCGTTGAACTTCTCGGCCTCCGTCTCGGCGTACTCCTCCTTGCCGCCCTGGATGAACGTCTCCGCACTGGTGACGAGGTTGAGGCAGATCGCGGCCCACAGCTGTGTGCGGAGGTCCACGAGCGCGAAAGTCTACCTTTTCGCCTGCCCGTTGCCGTTCTTTCATCTGCCTGGACACCTCGTCGGACTTGAGCCCTGAGTTGATCATGAGCTGAGTGGCCCCGTCGCTGGTCTCGAGGAGCTCCCACGTCTGGTAGACCGCGCCTGCTAGGTTGGCGAGCTCTCGCGCCGAGGTGAGGCACAACTTGGCGAGGAAGCGCACGGGGACCTTGGTGAGGTCCTTCTCGTTCTTGTCGCCCTTGGCCCCGCCCTTGGCGTGCTTCGACGGCTTTTCGCCTGAGCCAGGGCCCTCGTCCGCCCCCCTCTTCGTCTCCGACGTGGCCTGCATCCGCGCGGGCGGCGCGAGCTCCGCCATGAGCCGCAGAGTGCCCACGAATCTGGCGGGTCCACGTGAGCACCGGGCCAGGCAAGTGGCGGCGTAGATGTTTGCATAGCGCGTCTAAGTCTGAAGCTTCTACATCGCGCTGGGGACACGACAATGACGATGGAGGCTGAAGAGGGCGAAACGTTCTGCCCCCACCGAATCGACAGTGCCCCCGTCGCACAGCAAGCACAATATGCCGAGCAGCACATGCCCTGTCCCAGAACATCTCCCTGCAGCAGATACATGTGTTACTGGGGGTGAGCACGCGGCGCAGGGAGCGCAGCGAGTGGCGGGGCCTCATATGTGCCATCAAGCCCTTACGCGTGGTGAACTCCTCCTAAAATCCCTCGAACTGGCATCGATAACGCGTTTCAAGTTCGGGCAATTCTTGGGTCTCATGATCACGGCCATCCCCGTTTTCCGCCCCAACCTTCATACCAGGGGGGGCGATAGTCACTCCAAAGAAACAACTCCGTATCACAGAGAAATCGGTGTTCAAAAGCTCGCGGCGCACCTCGGGGTCCCACATGGGGCCAGGGCGATCTGCAAGAGCTCCCAGTACATGCTCCGAATCTCGTATAAGCCCCATGTGCCCAGTGGAAGTCTTCAGAGACCCTGCGAACCCAGGGGGAGGCCTTGGGGGTCAGGTATCCGTCGACGAGAGGCGTCTCCCCCGACTCGAAACGCACTTCCCCGAAGAGGGCCGCGAACAGCGGGGTGTGACTGGCGGGGTGGGCTGCCCAAGACTTATACCAGCTGAGTCGACGAATGCCCAGCTCCACCGAGGTCTCACAAATCCGCCAGTGTTTTAGCACGGCCTGATTGGACATCGTCCTGACTGCGCCAATTGAAGTTGCCCAGCGTGCGCTGCCTCGCATGCACACACGGGCAACATAAGCAATGGTAGCATCCAGGCGGGCGCTCTGCTGCTTCGTGAGCAAGAACGCCTCCATTCCACATGAAGCCGAATTCTGCACAAGGGATAAAAAGATCACCCGAGTACACTTCCAGGGTATGGGGGGGGAGGGGGGGGGCGCGTCCAGAAACCGCTCAGGGAGTAGAAAGCCGAACGTGCTGCCAGATGTCGTCTGATCACCTCCTGAATCGAAGCCTGAGACATAGAAACGTAGGGCCCCAGGTACCGCACCTCCTCCTTCAGAGCCCCGGAGATGAAAGCCCGTCCAGGCCCACGAAGCCAACGACGACAAACCATGCCCCCCCCCCCTCCAGCCAGTCCGCCAGCTTTTGTTTCCCCCGATTCAGTTGGTACCCACACTCGTGGAGGTGAGAGTCTAGCAAACCGTCTGACACGCGCAACTTGGCAAGGAAGGAGCCCATGGGGTCGCCCTGAGCGATCAGGGTGTAGCGATAAAGGTCGTCCGCATACTTAAAGAGGCTGAGATCAACTTCCTGGCCTTGCCAATCAGCGCGCAAGAGGTGCAAAGATGGGTCAGCGGCGCGGAGCGACTCCGTCCACTGCTGCACAGGGCGCTGAAACGTAGTCGAGAAAGCTGCAACCATGAACGGATCTCCCATCACTCCTCCCACCCTGGTCATGACCGCCACATCCCCCTCATCACTAGGTACAAGAACCACAACATCACGATGGCGTTTCTTACAAAGCAGCATATTATCATCAGAAACGTGTAGGACCATGCTCGTGCCCATGGCCGTCCAGGGGGTGCTACCAAACGCGTTACTCATATCCTTGAGACTAGCCCCAAAGCTCCACCCCGCCTGTCGTAATCTCCATCCCGCCGCCTGAGATGCCAAGACAGCCCCTTCCCGACGACGATGCCTCTGGAACCCACAGTCCTCAACGGGGAACTCATTGGGGAGAAGGTCGGCGAAGAAGGCTTTGCCCGCGACGGGGAGGACGTGGACCGCGCGTTTGCCCCGAGGCCCAGGTTGGGCCGACTTGTGTAGAGCGCGTCCCCGACTGGTACTCCAATAGAGAGGGGCCGCATCTGTGATTCGCACCTTCATGAAAGCGTCGAGTAGCACCTCAAAAAAGAAGGTCGGCCCCCCCGGTGCGCGCTGAGCGCCCAGGCCAGCGCGTAGAGCCTCCAGGCCCACATCGGGGTGCAACATCTGCCGCCAGAGCTCCAGCGGGGCGGTGCCATCTGGGACGACCCGTCTTTTTGATGCTTTGCGTGCGTACTTTCGGAAGCGTGTGATGTCCTCCAACGCCGGTTCCCTGAAGCGGTGGCCGTAACGGGCAATATCATAAATCTGGGCCAGATCTAGGTCGCCCCTCTGGTTTCGCCACTGCTCCAAATCAATGGGGATAACTTTCATGCCCCCCTCCCCATCCAGGTAACTGCCATGCATCTAACCACTCCTGACGAGAGATCGGGGTGGCCCCAAAGCGTCTGCCATTTTTAATGTATATATATATATATATAAATGTATATATAAACAGAAAACCTACAACGAGCCGCCCTACTCGCCCGCCCCATAGCCTCCGAGATGTTTCTTCTGGCCCATGCCTCGCTGGAAGCCTGGGCAAAGGAAGCCCTGTCCGCCCGCGCGTGACGTTGTCTGAGCAGGCGCATCCTCTGCGAGACATCGCGAAGCTCCTCCTCGACAGCTGGCAAATCCGTGGCTTGCAGGCGAGAAGCGCGCAACGCAATGCGCTTCTTCAGCAGCTCGCGGCGCAGTGCAGCCCAATGGGAGTAATCGCGCGGCATGTCCGTATCTTCACAAATAGTTCCGACCCCACCTCTACCAATCCCTGTTGCAGAAACTCAGAACAGTGATCTGGGGCATCCTGATCATGGGCCCGCATCCTATCCTCTTCCCGTTTCCGCATCCACTGCCCCGCTCCTTCCACTAAGGCGATGCGCTGAGATCCAGAGCGGACAGCAGACATAAGAGACGAGGTATTCCAGCGAGCCCGCTGGGCAGGAACACATTTTTGGGGTCCTTTGGGATGATGTGGCTCCAGATAGAGGGGGGCGTGATCTCGGGGGGGGGGGGGGCACTCTGGGCTTGCAACTGCGCACCAAACCGTCGTCAAGTATGGCATCGAGCCAGGCGGGTGCCCCAACCCTGCGGAATAAGAAGGAAGTCTATCAAACTCGAAGGCCCATCGGGTCCATCGCCGCACAAAAAATTGGCTCGGGAGGGCCCAGGGTATTCGCCGCAAGCAAGTGATGCTGCTCCAACAGGTGCGCCACCGACTCTCCTGCTCCCTGCCTCCGCCTCTCCCTCGTGCGCGTGTCTGACCGCCCGCTGCTGACTCCCCGGAGGAGTGCGAGGAGGGGGGGGGGGGGGGGGAGGAGGAGGAGGAGGATATCGATATCGCAAGGCGCGGAGGTCGAGGGTCGGGCGCCCGCCCAGCCCCCGCTTCGGGGGGGGGGGGGGGCGCGACCTTGCCGAACGGCCTCGCGAACTTGAGCTCCGCCTCAAGTTCCCTGCAGCCGTGGCGACGAGCTGCTTGCGGTCCAGCTTCCTGGATTTCATGCCGCCCCCCCCGTCGGCCTGCGACCTGGAACGCCCCCAGGCGCTGCGCTGGCCAGGCCGCCCGCGTCTTCCCCGAAGAACTGCTTGGCGTCCAGCTCCCGCGCGCGCTGCGAGTGCACCACCGGGCCATGCTGTGCGCGCGGCTGCTCCGCTCCTTCACGCGCCGCGAGTGCACCGCCAGGCGGTGTTCCACCGTGTCCTTGTTGCCCTCGTGCAGCTTGGGGATCCGCTGGGGGTCGCAGGTGCCCAGCATCCACCGCTCTGCTTTTTCTGGCCCTTGGCGAACAGGCCCCCTCGTTGGGGGAAGGGCTGCCGCTTCCGGGCCTTCGCTAGGAGAAAGGCCGCGGCCGCTGGGCCTTCGCTTCGCGCCAGCTGGACCTCCCTTTCCACCATCAGGCTGTCGGGGATCGTGACCACCAGCGTACTCAGGGCGGTTCGCCCGCCCCCCTCGTAGTGCGCACCCTTCTCATTGGTGCTGGCCCTGCCCAGGTGTGCGCGGCAGGGCAGACGTCCCCTGCTGCGCCCGCGGTGGGGGAGGGCGGAGGTTGCATCTACTGCGCCCCCCCCCCCCCTCCTGCCTCCTCGGCAGGAGGCGCGCCTCGCCGAGGTAGGTGTCCACGTTGAAACCCCATGCCAGAAGGAGGCGGATCCCGTCGCAGAGGAAGGCGCGCCCCTTGGGGACGGGACATCATGAAGGGCAGCATCCGCCATCCCACCCTCCTCCGCGAGCGTCGATATTTGACAGAGTGGCTTCCTGACGGCGGAGTGGCTCTCTGAGGTGATGTCCCGGTGATCCTGCCCCGCTGGCCATGGTGTCAATGCCGTTGGTCATCGTCGAGGCTCTCGGCGATGATGTCGTGATGGTCCGTATCCACAGTGGGCTTGGCATCAACCCCGGTTACCCTCGTCGCAACGTCAGCGTGGTCGTGGTGGCTCATCTTGTCACCTGGCTCGCATTCCTCGCCGTTCTGCGCGACGTCGCCGCGCGGCCCCGCGCGGCCAGATGGCGCCGCTGGACGGGGGTGGTCGCGGGGTCCGATGCATGTGTTCAGGTTGTTCAGTGCCTCCAATTGCTGCGCCCAGGCTCCGCACCTCGCGCAGATGGAGACTGATTTGGCAATCTCACTGGTGTCCAGGGTGCCTCGCTGGTTCACGGCGACCAGCCTGTGATCTTGCGGGTCCTGCATGTACTCCTTCAGGATGGCTGGGGCGCCTTGGCAACCAGCAAATGGACATTGTGCTCCAGGAGTATGCAGTTGCAAGCAGGTCTCGCGTTGCACACCGAGATCGCCTTCTCTCCATCGGTGCCGTGTCTCCTTCCTGCAACTGGCCGCTCGCCGGCGTGCAATAGGCCGTCTAGTCCATCTTGTCTGGTCGTCATTGCCGAAGATGGGAGGCACGTTGGCAACAAACTGCACGATCTTGCCGATCCTGGTGACAACCTCCTCCATCTCTTTCACGGCCTGTTCATCAGGTGGCATGTGCATGGTTGTGGCCAGGTTGGTCCGCGCATCTGCCACTATGTTGGCGTGTGTCAGTCTGTGCTGACTTGCTGATAGCGCTTCGTACTCTTCCCCAGGCCTGTGAGCCTTGACGTGGTGGTGCTGCTAGACGAGCTGGAAGCCATCCAGCGACCGCGCGAGGTGTGCGACACTCGCGTAAAAGGGGGGTCTCGCTCCTTAGCTGGAGGTCCTTGGCCTTGTCGGCGAGCTTGATGACGCCTGCGAGGTCAGCCTGGACCTGGCAGGGACGGTCGGCGACCTGCGGGACGAAGGCCGCGCTCAAGTGCTCGCCCATGGCCGATGACTGCGGCAAGGAGGCAGGGACGGGCGCACGCATGGAGCACGAGGGCGTGCTGGAGCGCGGGATCGCGACGCTCCATCCAGCTCGCCGGAACTCGCGGACCAGTGGTTTGGCGCAAGACCCATCAGCGGCAACTTCAACGCACACATCCTCACTGGCGAGGACATCTTGTGCCATCTGCTCAAGCGTAACATCCTTCGCTTATCCTCGCACACCGGGAACCACAGAGTTTACTCCGAGGTCCAGGGGCGGGACAGCGGAGGTAGAACCCTGGCTCGTCCCCACGCTGACGAAGCTGATCGAAAAGAGCGGCGGGAGCCTCAGCTTCTGCTCGGGCTTGTTGAATTTTAGGGCGCCCGCAGTCAACGAGACGGTGGAGAAGTGTGAATTTTCAGCTCCGCATTGGCATCTCCGATCAGATCGATACCCTGCAAGCTGAGCGCGACGCTGAGTCCAGATTCCACCGCACGCCACGTTCATCAACCAGAACTTTTGGTGGGCCGTGTCGCGCTTGCTCTTGCGAGAGATCATGGGCGCCAACATGTCGAAAGTAAACCTCGTTGCGTCCCCGAACCCCATCTTGATGGCTAGCGCCTTTTCGTGCTGACGTTGGAGGAGCAGGAGGAGGAGGAGGAGGAGGAGGAGGAGGAGGAGGAGGAGGAGGAGGAACAGGAGGAGGAGGAGGGAGGAGGAGGAGGAGAAGGGAGGAGGGAAGGAGGAGGAGGAGGAAGGAGGGAGGAGGGAGGAGTGAGGAGGAGGAGGAACAGGACGAGGAGGAGGAGGAGCAGGAGGAGGAGGAGGAGGGAGGAGGAGGAGGGAGGAGGAGGAGAGGAGGAGGAACAGGAGGAGGAGGAGGAGGAGGAGGAGGAGCAGGAGGAGAGGAGGAGGAGGAGGGAGGAGGAGGAGGGAGGAGGAGGAGGAGGAGGAGAAGGAGGAGGAGGAGGAGGAAGAGGAGGAGGAGGAGGAGGAGGGGGAGGAGAAGGAGGAGGAGGGGGAGGAGGAGGAGGAGGAGGAGGAGGAGGAGGAGGGAGGGGCTCCCCCCGGGGCCCCCAATGCCCGCCGCGTGCCCCCTCATGCGCGCCGCCGAGGTGGAGGCCCACCGCGCGAGGGCCGCGGGCGCGTCACGGCAGCCGCGGCCTTGCCCAGGGGGCGGAGGGTGCCGCGGGGCCGCCCCTGCGAGCGGTGCGCCCGGCGGGGCGCAAGGCAGCCCGCGGCACCGCTGGGGGGTGCCTGCGCTGGCGGCAACCCCCCAACTACGAAGATCCATGGGGCCCCTCCGCGGGCGTCGGGCATGCGAGCCTCCTCCTCCTCCTCCTCCTCCTCCTCCTCCTCCTCCTCCTCCTCCCGAGCGACGATCGGAGACGGGGTCTTGCGCACGATGACACGGCAATCTCACGCCGCGGCTTGCGCGGACCACCAGCGTGGCACGCCACGCAGGAAACGAAGGCGCTCACGCGCGACCTTACGCGGGCAGCTTCGGCGCCAATGTCGGTGAAGACGACTCCAATTTTCTGCGTCGCTCACCTATAGAGGCCCAGGGCGACACACATGCGTCGACACAGATGCCAATATTCACAACTGTTTCCCCATGTCCTGGATGTGTCTCTTCCCGTCCATCCCCCATCATGTCAGATATGTCCACGCTGATCAGCTGTCAGGTGTGCCTGTCTTGTTTCCCTCCTGACCACCACCCCCGTCACCCTCCCATCAAGCCCTGCCCCCCAGCCTCCGAGGCCAAACTCCCGCCAGACATCTGGGCGTGCCTCGTCCGGTGGATCAGGTTGCCCCCTTCGGGGAGGGTTTCACCATCCCCGTACTCAGTACCCCACGCTGGTAGACTTCCCCCCCCCCACTCCTAGGCGCCGCTTGGAGGCCTCTTTGGGGCTTCTCGGGGGCCTCTCGGGGGCGCATCTCGGGCCCCTCTCGCGCACGTCTGGGGCCATCCTGGTAACCAACCGCCGTTGCCCCAAACAACCTCTTCATTTCGATGGCTTCTGCGGGAGGCGGATGCACCGCCCGAGGCGAGCCCCAGGGGTTCGGATTAGAATCCGCCGACCCTGTCGGCGTGTGGGGGACGCTTTTCCATGAAACGCACCAGCCAAAGCGAAATTCAGCAGCAACGTCGTAGTTGAGCCGACGGGAATACCCTTCCCTTCGATCCCATGCCTGGGGGGGTCCCTGGGGGACCTGGGGGCCCCGGGGGACCAAAAGGGTCCCGGAGGGGACCCGGGGGGGATCGGGGGGAGGGTCCCGGGTGGGATCCGGGGCAAGTCCCGGGTCAGAATGCCCTCCCCCCCCGGGGAGGGGTCCCAAAGCCCAAAACCTCCCAAAACGAACCAAGAATGTCCAAAACCCCAAGAGGCCCCAAACAGGCCCCCAAGCGGTTCCTGGAGGCCCCGTCAGGCCCCAGGTCCTAAAAATACCACCAAGAGGTCTCCGAGAGACCTCCCAAGGACCCCAAGAAGCCGCCCTCTCTGAGCTGGTTCAACTCGTATGCAAGCGGACCCAGGATACTTGAAGATTCGCCGTAGACGGGCCGTGAACCCAAACAAACACTCGAATGGCCCAACAACGGAACTCCATGGGTGAAATTCCACTCCATGGGTGACAAATCAAACTCACGATGGTGCCACATACCCATGACGGCCCCCAAACAAACCCCCCAGAAACAACTACACGGGAACTGCTCCACTTCCAATACTGCTGACATAACGCCGCTGGAAAGCGACTACCGCCCAGCAGCGCAACATTGGCAACGGATGCGCGGGCGCAAGCCAACGATGCCACATTAGGGACCGGCGGAATGAGCGAAACGATTACATGTAGGTCGGGCATGTCCTCCTACAGACGGACTTTGGAAGAGCAGTATAACATAGTCGCATAATACTCAAGCGTAGTCAAAGACAATCCAAACATCGTGCCCAGACTATTTCCCAACCCTCCTGTGTTGGGCACTCGTTTTTAATAGAGCACTGTCTTACTCCACCTCCTCCTTCTACTCCCCTTCCTCCCCCTCTTCCACCTCCTCCTCCTCCTCCTCCTCCTCCTCCTTTTCTTCTTTTGGTGTTCTTCCTCCTCCTCCCTGCCTCGTGACCTCGCCGCCCCGTGGGGGGCTGCGATTTGCGAAACTGTCGCCAGTTTCGTGGGCTTCTGTACGTCCCACGGAGATCACCACGAGACCTTGCCGCCCCCTGGGGGGCTGCGATCTGCAAATTTGGCGCCACTTTCGTGGGCGCCTGGGAGGGAGGGCGCGCCGCTGGATGACCCCAAGGGGGTGGGGGGTGGGACCCCCGCCCCCCCCCCTTCCCCGATCCGTCGTCAGGACCCCCCCCCCCCCGCCTTTCCCGATCCGTCGTCGGGGAACCCCCCCCGCCCTCTCCCCTTTCCCAGTCCGTCGTCGGGGACCCCCCCCTCCCCGCCTTTGGCCGCCAAATTCGACCCCCCCCTCCCCCCCTTTCGCCACGGCGCCCCCGATCTCCCGAAACCGACCCCTACCACCCCTAACACTAATCCTCACCCTTGCCGTAACCCCTATCCTAACCCCAACCCCAGACCCTAGCCCCAAACAGTACTCACTACTCATTACGCACTACTCACTACCCACAAGTCACTACTCGCTACTCACTACTCATTTCTCGCTACTCACTACTCACTACTCACAGGTCACTACTCACTACCTACGACTCACTACCCATGACGCACTATTCACTACTCCCTACTCCCTACCCACTACTCACTGCTCACTACTCAATACTCACTGCATACAACTCATAACCCATTTCTCGTTAATCAAGAATCACTATTCGCTACCCTGTAGCCACTGTCCACTACTCACTACTCACACTTGACTATTAACTACGAGCTGCCCACAACTATCTACTCACTATCCACTATTCGCTACTCGCTACTCCTTATACAATACTCACTACTCACTACTCACTACTCGCCACTCCCTACGCCTTACTCGCTACCCGGTACGCACTCTTCACTACCCACTACTCACTACTCACTACGCTCCCACTACTCACTACCCACTACGTCCTACTCCCTACTCACTACTCCCAACTCACTACTCACTACCCAGTACTCACTACTCACTACTCACTGCCCACTACTCACTACCCACTTAGCAGTACTCACTACGCACTAACCACTATCCACCACTTACGACTGAGAACTCACAATTCACTACTCACTACGCACTGCCCAAGACTAGCTACTCACTATCCGCTACTCGCTACCCAATGAAACATATTCACTACCCACTACGCACTACTCGCTACTCACCACTCCCTACTCCCTACTTACTAGTCACTAGTCGCAAGTCGCTACTCAAAACTCACTAATCACTACTCACGACCACTACTCCGAATTTCTACTCGCTACCCCCTACTCACTACCGACTATTCAATACCCATTTCTCGCTTCTCACTACTCCCTACTCATTACTCACTACCACCTACTCACTACTCACAACGTACTACTCACCATTCACTACTCACCACCCGCAACTCCCTACTCGCTACGCACTACTCCCTACTCAGTACTCACTACTGACTCCGGAGTAATCCCACTTCACTACTTACTACTCACAACACCCTACTCGTTACTCACCACCCACTACTAGCTACTCCCTATTCGCTACTCCCTACTCGCTACTCACAACTCACTACTCTTTACCCAGTGCGCACTACTCACTACTCACTACTCACTCCTCGCAATTCGCTACTGTCTACTCCCCCATTCCTACTCCCTGCTCACTACTCACTATGCACTACTCACTGCACACTACCCACCCCTCACTACTCACAACTCCTTGCTCACTACTTCCTTCCCGCTACTCGCTACCCACTACCCAAGACGCACGACTCGCTAATCTCTACGCGCTATTCACTACTACCACTACTCACTACCCACTACCCACTACTCACGAGCCACTGCGCACTACGCACTACCAAATACCCACTACTCACCACGCGCTATTCAAAACACTTTACTCTCTACTCACTACCCGAGAAGCCCCCTCCCCAGCCCCCTGTTCGGCTCTAAGGGGGGGGGGGGTCGTCGACCCCCCCCCCCCCCCTCCCTCCTTTTTCCAACGCCAAAGTGGGGAGGGGGGGGGTCCTGGACTCCTGGCCCCCCCCCCCCAGTTCAAGGGAAGGGGGGGGGGGGGGGGGGGCGGACCCCCCCCGCATAGTTTGGCATGTGTTCTGGATTTTCGTCTACTCCCAATTCCCATGTGTTCCTATGTTTTCCTGGGGGTCGAATAGTCATCGAGTCTGTGTGTGTGTGTGTGTGTGCGTGAGTTTTTTTGTGTGTGCGTGTATGTGCGTGTGTGCGTGTGCGTGTGCGTGTGCGTGTGTGTGTGTGTGTGTGTGTGTGTGTGTGTGTGTGTGTGTGTGTGTGCGTGTGTTTCCCCCCTCCTGACTCCACGGCGCAGCCTCCGCGCGCAGGATCTCATCAGCCCAGACTCAGTCGGATTCCGATCCGAAGCCGTGCGTTCAACGCGCAAGCGACTGCCTCAGGGCGACGCGGCCGCGCAGAGCCCCGCCGGCCCCCAGGGCCGATGCTGCCCAGCGACCGAGACCGAGAGACAACGTGAGCAGCAAACAAACGACGAGTGCGTGGGCGGGGGGGCAGGGCCACTGGGGCGAAGCAAGCGGAAGCGGACAACGGCATGGGGGGATCCGATGCCAGGACTTATGCGCGCCCATCGCTTGGAGCGAAGCTGATGTCCCTGGGCGCAAGGCCGCGGTGGACGTGGACCTCTCCGGGCCCCATGGGTGCACCTCCACCGCCTCCCGAAGGCAGGGGGGGCCGGCCCCCCTGGCAATGGGCGCGCGCGATCCCGGCCTCGGAGAACAGCAGGGCGGGGGCGAGAGGAGCCGCGCGCAGACTGGCGGGCGCTGGGAGAGGGGTGCGGGCACTGCGGCGGCGACGCCGATCATCGACAAGCGCGATCCACCACTCGCAAAATAACTGCCCGCAAATGGCCTGGGCTCGCCGCGAGGACTGCGCGATGCATTGCGTCGAGGCACACGTGTGTTCGACGAGCGTTTGCGAATGGGCTCGGGGCGAGCAGTGGAACGCGCCCGGTGAGATCGGGCATCAGAGGCGGAGCGCTGGAGCGGGTGGCCGTCGGGGTCGTGCAACGGGCGGTCCTCGGGGTCGTCTTGGGGCTCTCGTTTGGGGGCGCCCCTGGGGCAGTCTCGGCGGCGATCCCAGCGCGGCCTCTCGGGCTGCTTTGGGGCGTTCTGAAGCTCGACGAGGCGAGCAGACATCCTCCATGCAAATTAGGAGCGCCACTGCCTGCAGGAATGCAAACGCATTCGCACGCCGCCCCGCCTAAGGGAGGGCGCCAGCCCCCCCCAGGTTCGGCGGTGCCAAAATCCGACAGAGGGCCAGGGCGGCAGCGGCCGCCGAAAACCGAGGCCCAGCGAGGGCCATGCGGCAGAGTCGCCCTCGGGCCTCGGCCCAGGGAGCGCCCCAGAACCCTGCAGGGCAGGCGCCCCCCAAAGCGCGCGCCCCCCTCGGGGGCCCCGGCCTCGACGACGGCCATGCGGATCATCTCGGCGACTTCCTCGTCGGTGAGCTTCCTCTCCAGGTCGATCGCGCCGTTGCCGTCCGCGTCGCCCGCGCCGACGGGTAGGCCTGACCAGGCCTCGACCTCCCCGGGGATCTCCACCTTGAAGCCGTTGCCCTCCAGCTCGCCGCTAGCCACCAGGCCCGGCACCTCGTGAAGGTTCGCCAGGGCCATCTCGCGGGTCGCGGCGTCCTCCATCTCGGCGCCCTCGCGGGAGCCTCACTCTCCTTCTCCTCCACCGCCGTCTTGGGGCCGCCAGCGTCCGTCTGCAGCCCGACCGCGCCGATGACCGTGTCCGTGCGCAGCTGCATGGCCGCCTCGGCCTGCTGCTCCTGCATGTAGCAGCCCCCGTTGTCCCTGAATACCTCCTCCCACACCTTCTCCTGCCCGTCATGCGCGGCTTGCAGACAGGCGCTCTCGCCCCGCAGCTGCGGGATGTCCGCCAGCTTCTCTTGCTGCTTCCCGCCCTCGCCGTCGTTGGTGTTCAGCAAGTGCGGCGCCCCGCGCTCCAGCATCTTAATGTGCTCCAGGTGCACGTTCAAGTACAGGGGGCTGAACCCTGCTGCCCACTTGCCGCCGACGCCAAGGCGCTCGCCGGCCTGGGCCCCAGGTCGCGGAACAGCATCGGATCGCCGAGGCCGCTGTTAACAAAGTTGCCCCCCTGGTTCCAGGCGGGCCGCTGGCGCATGCACTCCCCCTGATCCTCGTCCATGCTGTCGTTGATGTTCGCCCACTCCAGTGCAGCACCATATCCAACAAGTGCGGCGCCGCGCACTCCATCATCATGTGCTCCACGTACACATTCAGATACAGGAGGCTGCACCCTGCTGTCGTACCAAGTCGTGCTGCGGGTCGCTGCTGGTGTCCGACTCGTACTGCTCCTCGTCGTCGCCGTAGTCGATGCCGTAGCACTCAAGTGCAGCACCACCTCCAGCGTCACCCTCACCCAGACCACCTGCTTCGTCATGTGCTTGCCGTACACTTTCAAGCACAGGAGGCCTGACTAGTTCACTTCCTTGGCAGAGGCCGAGCGCGGGCTGCGCCTCCGCCTCCAACTACCCTACTTCTCCGTCTTCTCCTTTTTCCTCGCCTCTTTCTCCGTGTTCTGCGGCCTGGCACCCACCCAGGCTGACGGCGGTCCGCTACCCGACGCCGTAGCTCCTGATGCCGAGGCCGCCGCTGTGGACGCCGCCGCCGAGGACGCCCCCCTTGAGCGCGACCTGGCCCTCGGCGTTGCCGTCGCGCGTGCCGACGTCCAGCGCGACCAGCGAGTCGGCGCCCGCGCGGGTTCCCCGCTGCCGCTGCCGGGCGCGGGGCGCGGCCAGCTCGGCGCCGTCGGCTCCTCCGTCGCCCTCGCTGGCGGGCATGGCGTGGCCCAGACGCCTGGCGGTGCGTCGGACGGCACGTCCTCGATCGCCAGGGGGCGCGGCGACTGCGAAGGCCGCGCCAGCGCCTTGGGCCGCGGCCGCGGCATCGCCTTCGCGGGCGGCGGCTGGAGCGCCCTGGCCCTGGCGCGGACCGCGGCCTCCACCGCCGCTCGGACCACCTCCGCCGTCGCCGCGGCCGACGGGCGGCGCGGGGGGGTCCTGGGGCGCCTGGGCGGCGGCGCCGCGTCGTGCGACCGCCAAGGCACTGCGCCCCGCAGGAGGAGGAGGAGGAGGAGGAGGAGGAGGAGGGGAGGAGGAGGAGGAGGAGGAGGAGGAGGAGGGTCGAGGAGGCATGTTTCGATGAAAACAAATTGCCATAAACAGAAACTTTGGGCGCTCCGCGCTTTTTTTGGGGGGGGAGGGGATCTGCGCCGGACCCCCCTCCCTGGCACGCAGAGCGCGCCAGGGGCGCCGCGGGGGGGGTGGGTGGGCAGCCAGATCCAAGAAATCCGCGCGGAGCGCCAACAGTTTATGTTTATGACGCTTTTTCTTCTTCGAAGCATGCCTCCTCGACCCTCCTCCGCCTCCTGGATCCTCCTCGACCCTCCTCCTCCTCCTCCTCCTCCTCCTCCTCCTCCTCTTACTTATCCCCTTCCCCCCCCCTCCTCCTTCCGTCGACAATGAAACAATATGAATACTACTCTCCTCTCTCCCCTGGTGGCGTCCGGGAAATGGCCGGCCCCCCTCCGCGTATGGTTTTGTTACACGCAAGGTTTCTCAGATATGAAATGTCGCTTGTTTGCTGTTTTGTTTTTTTGGAATGCTCCTCTCGCTGAAGAGCTGGCCTCATTTTCGGGCTACCGCTCATTCCGAATCGTGCTCCCGCTGCAGCGCTGGCCTCATTTCCGCGCTTCCGTTCGTTCCGAATCGCGCTCCCGCTGCAGAGTGCCATGCCACGGCATGGTTTTTGATCCTTCCAAATCGGCACACACAAGAGAGGTCCAGGAATGTCCTAACACGGCGCTCAATGTGCCATAAGAGCACCCCTAGACAGACAGGCCCATGAGCTGATTATCCATTGTCTAACAAGGCAATGCGTATCAAAGACCCTTTTTTTTCTGCCGATGGCATCCGGAATCGCCACGAGAAAGCCCGAAAAGCTCTCCCGAGAGAAACCCGAGAGAACTCAGGCAAGCCCACGAAGGCCCGAAGGCTTCCACAATGGCCGAATATGCTCCCAAGATTACCATGACAAACTCTCAATGGAACCCATCCGTGGACCTCTCCCGGGGTACGTTTTGACTAGAATTTCGAGGCGAATCGAGCTGTGGCGACGAGGGCTCTCCAGGATGAGCAGCGGCATCGGTGTCTTTTCCTCCTCTAACGTCCTTCCCCCTCCACGCCTCGTCATGTCTTTCATCCCTTCTGGCCCAGACGATCACGCGGAGTGTGGAACGGCGGACGTGGCGCGGGCCTCGAGGATCAGCTCATGAACGCCGTGCCGCCTCTTCTCACAGCCTCCGGCGGCGTAGTGCGGAAGAAGCGATCCTCAAGCTCGGGCCACTCAGCGTAGGGCTCCCGGAACAGGGCCTGCAGCTCCTCCAGCGGCCCTCGGTCCCCTCGCTGCGCAGCGCTGTAGGCCTCCACGAGCATCCACTCGCGAGGCACGTACTTCGGGTTCGCCTGCCTCATAGACGGCCCGCTGGGCGAGGCCGCAAGCCACTCCCGCAGCCACTCAGCCCACCTGGCCTCGCCCTCAGCGGTCAGCCCGCCGCCGAGGCTGGTCCTCAGAGGCTCCATCAGCTCACCTGGGAGCCGCGCGATTATACACAGAGAGGAGGAGGAGGAGGAGGAGGAGGAGGAGGAGGAGGAGGAGGAGGAGGAGGAGGAGAGGAGGAGGAGGAGGAGGAGGAGGAGGAGGAGGAGGAGGAGGGAGGAGGAGGAGGAGGAGAGGAGGAGGAGGAGGAGGAGGAGGAGGAGGAGGAGGAGGAGGAAGGAGGAGGAGGAGGAGGAGGAGGATGCATCCGGGCCCTGTCCCGTGCGGCTTCGCAGAAACGCCACAAGACAACGTGTAGGATGAATGCTCCTCTGGGCGACAGGTGCTGGACAACATGTGCACACGGCGCCTGGACAGCCATTTGCCACCAGGTGGTGAACAGACATAACTTAGGGCGCCCAGGGGCCCACGACTAGACTAACACAGCTCCCAGGATTCCCCATCGATATTTTCAATGCTTTCAGGGGTTTCATCTTGCCCCCCCCACTTCCCATTTTTTCCCATCTTTCCCTGGGAAGCGACGATTATGTGAGCCTGTGTGTCTCTTTCCCTCATGGGTAGCCTTGTGCCCGATACGCTGCGTTTCGCTTTGCGGCGTCTTCACGCGAGCCCGGAGGGGGAGGAGGAGGAGGAGGAGGAGGAAAATAAGAAGGAGGAGGAGGAAGAGGCGGAGGAGAAGGAGGAGCAGGAGGAGGGGTAGCAGCAGGAGGAGCAGGATGAGTAGAGGGAGGAGGAGGAGGAGGAGGAGGAGGAGGAGGAGGAGGAGGAGGAGGGGAGGAGGAGGAGGAGGAGGAGAAGGAGGAGGAGGAGGAGGAGGGAGGAGGAGGAGGAGGAGGAGGAGGAGGAGGAGGAGGGAAAGGGGTATGGGGTAGGAGAAGGAGGAGGAGTAGCAGCAGGAGGAGCAGGATGAGTAGAGGGAGGAGGATGAGAAGAAGGAGGAGGAGGAGGAGGAGGGGAGGAAAGGGGTATGGGGTAGGAGAAGGAGGAGGAGCAGGAAGAGGAGGAGATCTGACAAACATCGAGAGAGCAAGGACTCTGAATCGGGTTGCTTGTGCACTCCCCTTACCGCGACAAGATTGACCAGCGCGCTCCGCCAAAGTGGCACGGGCCTGTCTACACCCCTGAGGTCGGGCACGCAGCCCTAGGGGGCAGGTTCCAAAGGCGCGGGGGCCCCGTTCCCGCCACGCACCGACCCGCTCCTACCCCCCCTACCGACGTTTCCCCTTGCCTTCGGAACCTGACGTAGGGAGGAGGAGGAGGAGGAGGAGGAGGAGGAGGAGGAGGAGGAGCCCCACCCTGCTGAGTCCTGCTGGTCCCCGGCCTAGCGGAGCAGGCCCTGCAGCTTAGGCGAGCGCCTGACAGACACACGAAGCCTGCCTTGGATTACTTGCTGAGCGAAAAGCTGAGAGACGGGGGGAGAGGCGCGCAGAGCTTGAAAGGATGAATGGACGGCGTCTAAAGCTAAGAGATAACTAGGCAGAGCATCGGGGCCCGAGAGACGAAAAAGGTGGGGGGGGAAGGAACTCAGGGGATCTTCACCGTAATCACTTGGAAGTGCAGGGAGGAGGCGCTGAAGGACAGGACAGCATACACCACAACTCAAATAATGAAGAAGATCATCACCTCCGACACATGAGCAGCCGAATACACATCGGCCTGGCCCTTGTCTGTAACGTCTTGTTGTGTTCCAGCTGTTGAATATTGTTTTTAGGAGCCCAACGAACATATACCCAGGAACCACTTGAGCACTCCGAAGCACACGGATAAAACACAGATCCATTTCGTCGTTGGAGACCCTGGGAGCCCATTTTTTCACCCTCGGGTACAATAGGGAGGACAGGGGGTTCGGATACGCGTCGGCTGAGATCATCCTCGCCAACCTTTTCTGGACCTGCTTGGGCAGGCACGGGTCAGGCAACTTGGGAATGTAGATGGACGACTCATAGTCCTCCATCAACTGCACAAACAGCGAGCGCTGATACTGAATAGAAAACTTATGAGTGAGGAGGAACTCGTCTGTCTCAAGGGACTCGTGGAGCTTGTCACGCAAGGTCAGGAAGAGGGAGGGGTTGTGGGCGACCCTGAGCCTGGCGGCGCGACTCTGCACCTCCAGGGAATTGGCTTGCACACTCAAGCCGAGGTCCTGAAAGCGATGGAAGAGGCCTGGAGGGAACGAATGACGCGGACTGCAGGTATACAGCTGATGAGCTTCTCTCTCCATTCTTATGACATATTTATTGGGCCTATAGCCCTGGCCGACATATGAGGCTACAGGAAGGGCATACCTGTTGTGGGCCACGAGGCTGGTGATGAGACCTTCCCCCAGACTTTTGACCATGTGGGCCCGAGCCAGAAGTTTGGCCCCAACAGGCTTCCAGGAACGGTCCAGACCATCAACTCCAGGGAGGAACCCAAGGTGATTCCCGTACAGCTGAAGCTTAAACCGGTGCACATTTATCCCGGCCTCCTTAAACTTTGCGACGGCGCTCTCCATCTTGCCAGGGTCAGTGAGGATTATCACGCACTTGGCAATGTTCAACAGCAAGCCCGAGGAGAAGCCAAAGCGAACGATTGCCCTGGTCACAGGGCCTAGGGCAGAGAAAAAGTCCTCTGCGACCAGGCCGAGGTCGTCAGCGAACGCAGAGACTTGCTTCGGCAAGTCGGTGGGAATCAGGCTGATATAGCGTAACAGTGGATCCAGACAAAGAACGAATAGAATACCAGAGAGTGGGCAACCTTGTTTAACTCCTCGGAGGGCCGTGAAGGAGACCTTGGGAGAGCCTTTGAATTCAATCCAACAGTGCATGTTCCGATATAGGGTCATAATCGCTAGGATGATAAATTCAGGGAATTGATAGGCGCGCATAACTTTCCAGATCCACTCATGCAGCACAGACGGAAATGCAGCGCGAAAGTCGTTGAGGCATGCGCCGCAGTCTCTATGCCCCAGAACAGACCTCCAGTGCATCATGTTAAAGTCTACCTCTAGCACGTTGTCCATGATGTTCCTACCTTTGATGATTCCCCTCTGCGACGAATGACCCCGATCAGCGATGACCTGGGAAATCGGCGAAGCGATCAGCGACGAGACGAGCTTGTTGTCGACGTTGGATAGAGCGATCGGTCGAGTTTCGTCGGCCCCCTTCAGAACGTTCTCGGGATCATCCATCTCACCCTTCGCCAGGAAAACTAGCTTGGCAGCGTTGAACTGGCTGCTCACGCGACCGCCGTCGAGCACATGCTCGTAGAGCTCGAACAGCGCCTCCTGGGCAACGGGACCAGCAGCTCTCCAAGCGCTGTAGCACAAGCCGTCAGGTCCTGGGGCGGAATCCTTTTTCCTGTGCAGGAGGTCGAGGAACTGATCAAACGTTTTTTTTTTTTTCCAGGGAAATCTCTGGTGGGTCGAGTTCGCGCATTGGTACTCGTCGGGGTCCATGGGGGGAACTAGTTCCAGATATTGGCCTCCAGGATCCGCGGAACCAGCCCAAGCGCCAAAGACAGAGCCCCAATGAGAGCAGAGCAGCTGCGCGCACGCCGAGGGCTCAGTATGGGCGAATCCGTTCTGGCCAACGATTCCTTTGAGGCAAATTGTACGCTGCTTGTTTTTCCAAGCTTTGGCCAACCTCCTAATCCGCATCAAGTGAAAATCTGCGTTGTGCGGGAGGTTGCCCTCCGGGTCCCTGAGGTTCTCCTCTAGCGCTGCCAACTCTTGATTCATGGGGGAGGTGAGGCGAGCGTGAAATTCATGCCAATCATTCCAGATCATGTTGTCATGGTCGAAGAAGGAGGAGAGGATAGGGTAGGCACGAACGGCGTCGGCTGCTGCTTTGCAAAGCCCAGACCTGTGGGCGCGGATGAGCCTGAGACAGCACGCTAATTTCTCGGCCAACGTGTTGGCAGATGTCTTAAACATATCGGCCTTGGCGCGGTTGCCAGCGGCGGTGATCAGCAGCTTGATCTCCTCAAGCTTCTCGGCTGGGTCAGGACTGAATCCTTGACCTTCTGCAAGGTCTTCAAAGTACTTTGCAAACGCGTGCCGCTTGAACACCCACGGAGGAAGAGACGACTCTCGGCGCGGCTGCCACGGCTGCAACGAGAGGCACACGGGGACGTGGTCGGAGGGGAAGGTGAGATCGGTGATATTCCACATCGTATTACAAGTGGGGCTTAGGTCGAGGAGATCGGGAGTAGAGATGCTGCAATAAATCCTGTCCAATCTTCTAAAGGATACCGATTCACGAGGATGAGTAACGACACGACGATGTGTATACTGTGGTTGCTCAAGCTCAGCGTGTTGAGGAAAGAGAGAGCGAAACAGAGCGGCACGCCTGGCGGGAACGAAGCGCTCGGTCCCTTGAGTAGCATTGAACCTACCTTCCCCAGACTCATGACAATTGAAGTCCCCAATGATAAAAGACGTAGTGTTCAGAGCGGGTCTCAGGATTGATTTTGCAGCTTGGAATTGTCGGCGGACCGCGGGGTCAGGAAGTTCGGGATCAATGTGTACATTGACGATTTGCAACTCACCCTTGGGACCACTCAGATTCAGAACCGCAACCCGGCCTGGCACTGGCTCGCGGAACTCGGAGAAGGGGAAATCTCTCAGCAACTCGGTGGAGACAAAAATGAGAAGACCACCGGCACTAGCACGTGAGCAGAAGGAGCCAAAGACGGAGTGATACCTGAATTCTCGCTCAAGATGAGGCAGATCCCCTGGGGCACCATGAGTTTCCTGAAGACACAATCTGGTTTCGCTGTAAGATGGCCGGAAGCTTGTGAAACTTATGTTGAACACGAATTTGTTCGGCGTACAAAGACCCAATAAGGGCCTGGGAATTCCACGTCGTAATCCGAAACGAAGCGTCAGGTAGGTAGTAAGAACATTTGGGGGAGGGGGGCGGAAAAACCGATGCATCTGCTCTACTGCTGGCTGGAGGCTGAGGGGGACTGGAGGGAGCACGAGACTGGGCACAGCAAACCCCGCGCCCTGCCAAGCCTGGGGTCAAAAAAGATACAGAGTCGAGGTGCCCTTCAGCAGCCGTTCAGAGAGCGGCGATCAGGGAGTCGATCTGGTCCTTCGTGATATCGAAGTGCAGCAGACTGTGGTAGATGGGCTCGAGCTTGAAGGTGTCCTCTCCCAGCGGTACTGCCTGCGCTAACTCGTAGACGTCGTCGTCTGTGATCACCTGCAACACCCCTTTGTGCCCGTTGACGCCGAGCTTCGAGCCACCTGTCCACTTCTGGCTGGCCTGGAGCTTCGTGAGCACGTCGCAAAAGAGTCCAGAGAAAGCCCTCTTCTTCTGGCGTACGTGGAGCGGCAAGTCGCCCCTGACCCTGAGCGGGTATTTCTTCCCGTCGCGGGAGTCCACCCACTCCATGTTCACATCGTTCATCTTGGTCTGGAAGCTCTTCGCGTCTTCGTCGTTCTCGAACCTCAGCTTGTAGACCTGGCTTACTCCGTGGAAGATGGCAGTCACGCGCTTGTCGTCCTTCAGCTCGGGGAAGTGATCCTGCATCTGCTTCCAGTGCGCCTGGCGGGTCTTCATCAAGAGCGGCCTCGGACATGTCCCCACGAAGCGGATGCAGGGATCGCTCTCGAGGTCGATGACTGGCGAAACTTTCCTGGCCTTGTCACCGTTGAATTGGCGGATGGGCGGGCCACCCACGGGAGACGACTGAAAACTGCCTGTAGACCGCGAACTGCCTGCTACGCTGCCACCAGACTCCAAGGCGGCAAGTCGTAGTCCTTGGGATTGTAGATCAGCACGAAGGGCCTTCAGCTCGGCACCCTGAGTGGAGATCTGCCCCTGCAGACCTGTCACCGCCGTCTGAACCTCCTGCTGTACCACTTCTCGAATGCAAAGCTTCGGTTTCTCGAACATGGCCTCAAGGATAGCCTGCAGCGCTGGGTCGATCGCCATGGCTGCTGAAGTGCGGAGCAGGAGAAAGGAGGGATCGCGAGAAATGTGAAACAATGTGAGGCCTATCCTCGGGACGCTCGGGCCAACCCCTTGGCAGCGTCCAAGCTCGAAGCGCCAGGGCAACGTTTCGAACTTGAGCCAAAATGGCTACGGAGGAGGAGGAGGAGGAGGAGGAGGAGGAGGAGGAGCAGGAGCAGGAGCAGGAGGAGGATGGGGAGGACGAGGAGGAGCAGGAAGAGCAGGAGGATGAGGAGGAGGAGGAGAAGGAGGAGGAGCAGGAGGAGGAGTAGGAGTAAGAGGAGGCGCAGGAAAAGGTGCAAAAGGCGTGCTCCTGGCCCCGCTCACCGTCCGAGGCGTCCGGCGAGGCCGCGCCCGGCACCCGCGCCAGCGACCGCCAGAAGAGCGTCCAGTCCGCCCCCGAGGCCCGCAGCAGCGGCTCCAGCGAGGCGAACAGCTGCGCGCCCTCCTGTGGGCTTTTCTTCCACCGCCATCACCACAAGTATGAGGGGGAGGGGGTCCTCCTCCTCCTCTCCTCCTCCTCCTCCTCCTCCTCCTCCTCCTCCTCCTCCTCATATTCTTCCTCCTCCTCCTCGTCCTCATCCTCCACTTCCTCCCCCTCCAACTTATGGTGGTGGTGGTGGTGGTGGTGGTGGTGGAAAACGGGCCCATCACTCCTCGGGCAGGTCGAGCCCGAGCTTCCGCCGCCAGACGTCGTCGAGCGCCTCTGGAGAGCATCGCTCGACGGCACCCGTCGTCGGGCGCGTCCTCGTCGTCCTTGCCCTCGCCGTCCTCCTCGTCGTCGTCCTCGTCCTCATACTCCTCGTCTGGGCGGCGGGGCCCCAGGGGGGGAAGCGAGAAGTGGCGGGCCTTCTCAGAAGGCTCGGAAGTCACCCCGGCCTTCTGAGAAGCTCTGTGAATACCTGCCCTGGAGACGCAGACAACTTCTCAGAGGGCCGGAGGGCTCCCGAGAAGCCCCGCCGCCTTCTGAGAGGGCCTTCTCCCTCTCAATCCTCCCCCCCGCTCGCCGCCGAAGCGTCTCACCGATCCCTATCCCCAGTGGCACGGCCTTGGCCCCCCTGACCAATTTGCCCCCCTAGCTGGGGAAGTTAGGCTGTTCTCTTCGGGTCTCGAGGGGCCGATCCCCAACTGGTGGGGGTGGTGGATGGTGGGGCGGAGGTGCCATGGCCCGGTGGGGACGGGGATCGGTTGAACGACACCGACCTCTGCCGACAGCCGCTTGAACTCTTCGACGATCTCGGGGACCATGCCCTGCTGCTCGTCGCTAAGGATGGGAGCCACGGCTGCTGCAAGGCTCTCGAAATTCTTGCACGCCGCCTGGGGCTGGTTCAGGAAGCCGTACTTCTCAGCACCCCCGACCCACATGTTCCAGAGCGGCTCGTAGCGCTCCAGGAAGCCGAAGGGCCCGTAGTCCATGGTGCGGCCTCCGACCAGGCAGTTGTCGGAGTTGAAGTTGCCCTGGACGTACCCGACCCGCACCCACTCCGCGGCCAGGCTCGAGATGCGACGGCTCGCGGCGCGCAACATCCCGAGAGCTCTGACCTGCAGCGGCTGCCCGGGCTCGACGTCGGGGTACTCCCGGGCCAGGGCGTGCTCCAGGAGGAGCTCCTGGGCATCGCTTAACCGGCCCCTATCCCCATTAACGTGGCATGGGCCCCAATGGCCGATTGACCCCCTAGATGAGGACATAGGCCGTTCCCTTCGGCTTTCGAGGGGTGTGTCCCCAACTGGGGTGCAAGGATGCTGGGTGTCTGGATGGAGATGGGGATGGGGATCTGTTAAACGATACCGAGCTCCAGCTCGCGCAGGCGACCGGGATCGCCACCCCGCGCTCGCCTCGCGAAGAGCTCCACGTGACCGATCCGCAAGAAAGACCTCGCGGCCCGGCACGTGATCGCGCACGCCTCCTGCTGCATCATGTCCGGGTCTTGGCCTCCTCCGCCCCGCTGCCGCATCTGAGACCTGAGCTGCTCGCGCAGCTGGTCTTTGACCTCCTCAACCAGCCTTGAGCTGATCCCGATCCTTAGGACCCTAAGCCTGACAGTCCCAAAGGCGATCCCAATATTAGGGATGCGACCACGGAAGATGAGGCAACCATTAGGATCGGCAACGAGATCCGCTGGCCCCCTTGTGGGGCCAACAGGCTGTAGGCTCAGGGTTTGCTGTTCCCTGCGCCAGTTCCAGTTTCCAGTTTCCACTGTTACAATATTGATTTATGCTGCTTACTGTTCCTTGTTGTAGACCGCGTGAGGGGGGGGCCCGAAAACCAGCAAACCTAGCGTCTTCTGGGAGGGTTCTCAGAATTTCTGGGAGGGTCGAAGTTGACACCCCTCACGCAGATCGGCGGGGTCAGGGTCCAAAAACACATCGGATTTGCCACATTTCTGAAATTCGGCGGTACCTCTCACGCAGATCGGCGGGGTCAGGGCTGAAAAACCAATCGGATTTGCGACATGTCTGAAATTCGGCGGCACCTCTCACGCAGATCGGCGGGGTCAGCACCGAAAAACCAATGGGACTTGCCACGTTTGCTAAATTCGGCGGCACCCCTCACGCAGATCGGCGGAGTCAGGGTCGAAAAACCAACCGGATTGGTCGAAAAACCAACGGGATTTGCAACATTTCTGAAATTCGGCGGCGCCCCTCACGCAGATCGGCGGGGTCAGGGTCGAAAAACTCATTGGAATTGCAACATTTTTGAAATTCGGCGGCACCCCTCATGCAGATCGGCGGGGTTAGGGTCGACAAATCAATGGGATTACCACATGTTTCAAATTTGGCGGCACCCCTCATGCAGATCGGCGGGGTCAGGGTCGAAACACCAATGGGAGTTGTTACATGTTTGAAATTCGGCGGCACCCCTCAAGCATATCGGCGGGTTCAGGGTCGAACGACTAATGGGATTTGCAATTTTTTGTTTTGAAATTCGGCGGCGCCCCTCACGCAGATTGGCGGAGTCAGGGTCGAAAAACCGATGGGACTTTCTACATTTCTGAAATTCGGCAGCACCCCTCACGCAGATCGGCGTGGTCAGGGTCGACAAATCAATGGGATTTACCACATGTTTCAAATTCGGCGGCACCCCTCACGCAGATCGGCTGGGTCAGAGTCCAAAAACTAATGGGATTTGCCACATTTCTGAAATTCGGCGGCACCCCTCACGCAGATCGGCGGGTTCAGGGCCGAAAAACCAATGGGATTTGCCACATGTTCGAAATTCTGTGGGAAACCTCAGTGCACAGCATACGGGGGCAGGTTCAACATGCAACACTGAGTTCAACAATATCATCTGAATTTTAATTTCTCTTGCCGATGCTGCGTTATGGTGGCGCCGAGGCCTCATGATTTAGCTCTTGCGTACCGAATTATCCAAGATAGGGGGCCGGCGGCAGTGGGCGAAGCCCTTACGGATATAAGGCGATGCCAAACCATTCAGTGCCAAATTGTGGAACCACCCATGCCATCTTCTTGGATCTTGCGCGTCGACGCTAACTGATGTTGCAAATCCACGCTGATCGACGCTAAGTCGTCGCTAAACCAAGCTAGATCGGCACTTTCTCATCGAAAACTAGACGCTAGCACACGCAAATGCATTGTAAAGATGGAGTTGCGAGGACATACGCGGCTCCTATGCTTAGATACCGAACAGCCATTGGGATAGGGATCTGCTACAGGCTGGTAACTCCTCGTCCAGCGCGTCGAAGTCGAGGCCCCGCTGCTGCTGCAGCAAGCGCCGCAACGTCGGGTCCAGGTCCGCGTCGGACACGTCCGCTGCAACGGAGCGCCCTGCGCTGTACCAAGGTCTCATCACGGTATCCGACCGTGACGCGACGAGTGAGACGGCCCGCGTGGTCGGGACCCCCAGGTGGTGCATCGCCTGAGGCCGAGAATCCCTCCCTCCCTCCCTCTCTCTCTCTATTCCCCTTCCTCTGTCGCTGTCTCTTGTTGTTGTATCTCTCTCGATCTCCCTCTGATAATGCCATACAACATACGCCTTTATCCCCACGTCTTCTGCCACAACAGATGAAAAGGATGCACGGCAAAAAAGTGAGCCACGCGAGCGGCAAAAAAAAGGTACTTGTTGCTCGGTGCACGGCGACACCGAAGCCTGACACATCTAAACACGGGCCGAAAAAAGGCACGGTGTAAAAATACCGTTGGGAATATATGCTTTCGTAATATGATGTGTGTGTGTGTGTGTTCCCAAATCCGTTTTCAGTGTGCGCTGTATTGTCCCGTCCACTGGGGAAGTGCAAGTTTGAACGAAGCGTCCACAACAACACCCAAACCACCACACAACCACACACTTTTTGCGTCGGCGGCTAGGCAGAGTGACTGCGCTGGCGGATAGGGCAAATGTAGGGCACACGACTGCGAATTAAGCCGTGATGCGCGCGAGGAGGAAGGGAAAAACCCGGCGCGGGCGGAAGGGAGACGGAAGCCGGGTCCACTGAGCGGGGCCAAGCCGCAGCGGAAGCGGCGCCGGGGCAGCGGGGCGGCAGCCGCAGGGCAGCCTGGGGCGGCAGCGCAGGGCGGGGGGGGGACAGGCCCAACCAGTGCAGGGGGATGGGCAGCGCAGCAACAACCACACACAACACACACACACATCTCACACACACACACACCACACACAAACACACAACCACAATACCCACACACACACACACTTACACACCCACACACCAACACACGCACGCACACGCACACACACCACACACCACACACCGCACACCGCACACCTCACACCACACGCCACACACCACACACCGCACACCACACACCACACACATACACACGCACACACCACACACCACGCACACACGCAAACACACACAAAAACACAAACACAAACACAAACGCAAACACACACACACACGCACCCACACACACAGACGCTTACACACACTCTTGCACTTTCGAGCGCCGCGGCCACGCGCACGGCGACGCGGCAGAGCAGTCCAGGGCCGGGTCCACACACGCACGCGCACACACTTTTGCGTCGGCGACTGGGCAAACGTTACTGCTCCGGCGATGTGGCATTAGTGGGGCGCACACAATGCAAATTGGGTCGCGACGCGCGCACACACACTCACGATTTCGGAAACGTGACTTTCCCTTTGTGCTCGTTCATGGGATTTTGCATTCGAAACGGGGTTGGTCATTCGAAACTGTGCTCTCTTTGGGGCGGTGGCCGCAATTCATAAAACGGCGCGCGCGCGAGGGTGAGGTCTGCGGACCTAAGAGCGGGCGAATGTTTTCTATGATTCAAGAGTTCCTAACGAGCACGGGGCAAAGACTGTCAGGCCCCATGCTGACCCCAAAATGGTTGTTCCTAAACGGGATGGCCCCACATGGCCCAATACTGCCTACTGGACTGCAAAGCCGGCCAAATATGGCCGGAAAACCTTGCCCAGCTGCTTCCAGGGTGACCACCATCATCTCAAATAAATGCGTTTATTCCCTACCTAGGCTCTGCTTAGAAGGGTTCTTACCGTGTATGCTTAAAAGGGCCGGGCAGTGGTCCTCGCCCCGGGCGGTTCCCCAAATATCCGCCCCGCGGTTCCCCCAGTTACGTCCCCTTAGCTTAGCGTTGCTTATCTCATCTTAGCTTAGCTGATTTCATCTTAGCTTAGCTTAGCTTCATCTTAGATCAGGTTTATCTTAGCTTAGCTTGGCTTCATCTTAGCTTCGCTGAGCTTTAGCATAGCAGAGACAGCCTAGCATAGCATAGCGCAGCTTAGCATAGCGCAGCACAGCATATCATAGCACAGCCCAGCATGGCATAGCGCAGCATAGCATAGCATAGCATAGCATAGCGCAGCACAGCACAGCACATCATTAGCATGGGTTTAATTCCCTACCTAGTCTCTGCCTAGAGGGTTAGCTTAGCTTAACTTAGCATAGCGCAGCGCTGCATTAGCATAGCATAGCATAGCATAACACAGCCGAGCATATCATAGCATAGCATAGCACAGCGCAGCATAACATAGCATAACATAGCATGGCATAGCATAGCGCAGCGTAGCATAGCATAGCATAGCACAGCGCAGCATGGCATAACATAGCATAGCTTAACACTGTATAGCATAGCATAGCATAGCGCAGCATATCATATCATAACATAGCATAGTATAGCGCAGCATAGCATGGCGTAGCATAGCATAGCAACTAATGCTGCTTTCCTAGGGGCTCCAACTTATAGGTAGGGTCGCACTGGGGTAACCATGTATTTTAGCCTCCCTGCCTGTGCGGGCTTCATGGGCTTCCCGGGGCCCACAGTGACCCCAACAGGGCCACAACGAAGCCTTAACAGGGCCCCGAACCCATCCTAGGACGAACGAACAACCCCCCCCCCCCCCACACATCCGGCCCCCCCCCCCACCCCCCCCCCCCCACCCACACACACACACACGAACACAAACACACGCACACACACAACCGCACACACACACACACACGCCCGAACACACACACACACACACACACCCGAGCACCCACACACCCGAGCACACACACACACACCCACACACACCCACACACACCCACACACACAACACACAACACACAACACACAAGACACAAGACACAAGACACAAGACACAAGACACACACTGACTAACTCACTCACATTCGCACACCCACACCCACACTCAGACCCACACGCACACCCACGCACACCCACGCACACCCACGCACACCCACGCACACCCACACGCACTCACGCACGCACGCACGCACGCACGCACGCAAGCACGCACACACACGCACCCACACACACACACGCACGCACCGACGCATACACGCACCCACCCACGCCCCGCAACGCACCCCGGCACCCCACGCCACACACACACACACCCCACACACCCCCACACACACACCCACACGCACCCCCCCCCCCCCCACACACACACACACACACACACCCACACACAATCCCCACACACACCCCCAGACACACCCACACACACACACTACCACACACACACACACCCACACCACACACACCCACACCACCCAACACACCCCCACACCCCCACACCCCCACACCCCACACCAACGCCCACGCCCACGCGCACGCGCACGCGCACGCGCACGCGCACGCGCACGCGCACGCGCCACGCGCACGCGCACGCGCACGCGCACGTGCACGCGCACACGCACACGCACACGCACACGCACACGCACACGCACACGCACACGCACACGCACACGCACACGCACACGCACACGCACACGCACACGCACGCGCACACGCACACGCACACGCACACGTACACACACGCGCACACGCGCATACGCGCACACGCGCATACGTGCACACGCGCACGAGCGCACGCGCGCACGCACGCACGCACGCGCGGACGCGCGCACACATGCATACACCCGCACACGCACCCACGCACACGCGCACACGCGCACACACGCACACACGCACACACGCACGCACGCATGCACGCACACGCACACGCACACACACGCACGCATGCGCACCCACACACGCACACACAGGCAGAGACACAGAGACACACTCAGAGACACACACACAGAGACACACACAGAGACACACACACACAGAAACACACACACCGAGACACACACAGAGACGCACACAGATACACACGCAGAAACACACACAGAGACACACACAGACACACACAGAGATACACACAGAGACACACACAGAGACACCCACAGAGACACCCACAGAGACACCCAGAAAGACACCCACAGAGACACCCACAGAGACAAGACACCCACAGAGACACACAGAGACACACACAGAGGCACACATAGACACACACAGAGACACACACACAGAGACACACACAGCGACACACACAGACACACGCACACACAGAGACACACGCACAGAGACACACACAGAGACACACACACAGAGACACACACACAGAGACACACACACAGACACACACACAGACACACACAGACACAGAGGCATACACACATAGACACAAACACAGAGACACACACAGACACACACACAGAGACACACACACAGACACACACACAGAGACACACCCACAGAGACACACACACACAGAGACACACACACAGGCACACACACAGAGACACACACAGAGACACACACACAGGCACACACACAGACAGACACCCGCACACAGAGACGCACACACAAAGACACACACAGAGACACACACACAGAGACACACACACAGAGACACACACAGAGAGACACACACAGAGACTCTCACACACAGACACACACACAGAGGCACACACACACAGAGACACACACACAGACACACACAGAGACACACACAGAGACACACAGACACACACACAGACACACACACGGACACACACACAGAGACACACTCAAATACACACACAGAGACACACACACAGAGACACACACACACATAGACACACACACACACCGACACACACCCAGAGACACACACACGGAGACACACACACAGAGACACAACCACACAGAGACACACACACAGAGATACACACATTGAGACACACACAGAGACACACACAGAGACACACAGACACACACACAGAGACACACACACAGACACACACAGAGAGACACACACAGATAAACACACAGAGACACACAGAGACACACACAAAGAGGCACACACAGAGGCACACACAGAGACACACACACAGAGACACACACAGAGAACGAGACAGAGACACATAGACACACACACAGAGACACGCACAGAGACACACACACACACAGAGACACACATAGACACACACCCACACACACGCACACACAGAGACACACACAGAGACACACACAGGCACACACACAGACACACACACACACACAGACACACACACAGACACACACACAGACACACACACACAGAC